TAGCCTATCGCTGAAACAGGGATTCCTACAGCAACTGGATGGAATGAAACAATGCAACAGAATGCGTAAGGAATACAGCATTCGTACCGGAACTAAATACACACATTTTATTCGTTTACGACCGGACACTATTTTCTTCACCCCTTTCCCATCTGTATCAACTCTTCCTTTCATTTCACCCAACGGTGAACCGTGGGTTTTAACGGGAAATAAACGAGCTTGCTGTTGTGGCAATGAAGATTGGTTTGGAATTGGTACAATCGATCTAATGGATACCTATTTTGATCGTATCGACAGTATCCTCTCTCATAAACCAATGAATCCATCATGGACAGCTGAGGATTATCTAAGCTATCATCTGAAAGTTAACGGCAGTGCAGCCTTAAATGTCGATTACGAACACCTGCGGGTGTGTATTCATAAACCTCTAGACCGTAGAAACCCTGGTGATCCATAGTTTTACCAGACGTAATGTCTTAGACAAGCATTTTCGACACTAGCTGCAACAGAGGTAGCTAACTTATTAATTATATGAATTTCAAAAACAAGTTTTTTTCATGCGTAGTACGGGTGAGGGTTGATGAGTCTGAACTGTTGTCCTGAATTTTTCCAGTTCTTTTAAGAAAAAGATTAAAAATTCTCAAAGCAAAGAAAAACAGGCCAATGGGAATGAACGAAAATCAACGAATAAGAAAACTTTCGTTCATTCTAACTACGATAGCAGTAGTGCCTACTCACCTCCAAACATATTCACATTCACCCTCACTAACACTAAGCCCGAATACCCAAGAGTAAGAGGAGAGGGTGAGGCTAGATGAGTATGTGCTCTTGTCCTGAAATATTCCCCTTATTTTAAGAAAACTTGTGTACTTACAGTTTTGTTTGAAACACCTTGTTGATAAAATAAAAATAAATTTTTTAAAATTTTTTATTTTTAACAAAATATATTTCGACTATTTCAGTAGCCTTCGTCAGCTGTATGTGTGTGGTCAGTACGGTGTGAGAGTGCTATTATATACCTTGTTAAACAAAGGTAGGATGGTTATCTTTTTTCCTCCTTTTGGTTTTTGGTCTTCGCCGTCGGTCATCTTATTCTTTTTCTGTCATTTCATCTGTTTCTATTCACTGTGTATGTGTTAATATATGAATTATACGTTTCCTCTTTCCTTTTTTCTCTATGAGAGACATTTTATGTTCACTTGGTGATCAACGTTGGTGGTTGGCTGGATTAGATTTAAATATTGATTTTGTAATTAAATGTGGTGAAATTGCTGCCTATCAAGTTAAATGGTCCACTGGCTGGAGTGATTGGTATGTTCCCGGTGTTAATGATATGGATCAAAAAGTCAATACAAACAATGGTTTCGGAAGTAAGTATGGTATATAATAGGCAAGAATTGGCTTATGCTCTTCATAACACATGTTCACTCAAACAAACTCAATTCGAAAAACACAGTAAGTAAGTTCAAAGATCAAATTTTATCAAAATATTTAATTGCTAGCCCTATTTTTAAAAACTGAACTGTTTGATCAAAACTGATTATACAAACGTCATTCTAGTGTACTTAGATCGACAATCATTTTCCGTTCTGGCCGCATTGAAGACATTTCGGAAAAAGCCATACTAGGGTATAGATTAATAATTAATTAATCCTGATTAACGCGAGTTATGTACAGTTCAGCGATTTATATTTTTGTTTGCAAATAATTGAATAATACATCATTCGAATTAGCTTTTCAAGCGCTACAAAACTGTATACTTTATTTTCAAAGGCATAGTTCATAATGAAACTTATAAGGAGTTCTGTTAAAACCGCTGGAGTCTTATTAGGAGTTATTTCATCTGATACAGGTTTTCACTTCGTTCTTGCATTTTGTTCTGAAAACCAACATTATCACAAGATTGAGTGTGATCGATAACCTATATTTTCATGCATTTCTGAAAGTCCCAGAATGAAGGATAGAGAAGTCTCAGAGCTTCTTGGAAAACGTCTGAAGCTTCCGAACCAAGCAAAGTGAAACTTTTGTATGGATCTTGTTTTGTAGAGGTCACTTTGGGCCATCTATCTATGAAAAAATTGATAGATTGCCACATTACTAGCCATCTTTACACCTGTAACTTCATTACCTGATAAACAACTAGTCGCATCTTCAACGTCAGTATCGATCAACACCTTTGTTAATACCACCGCCACTACCTCTCCTGCCAATTCCACTAACACCACTGCCACTGCTACCGCCACCGCCACCGCCACTATTGTAAATAAACTCCACAGAGTTAATACAGTTGATATAAATTTATTGGCACTCTGTTCACACACCTAACTCACATATACCTGTATACAGGCATGATAACATAAAAAGCTCATTTTAGCCTCTGGCTAATTATAACACTGTTATAAACAAACATTAAAAGAACTAATAATATATTAAGAATACCTTGGGAACATGAGATAAAAACTTAAGTGCAGTCGAATTCAGGAACACCACCAACAGCACATAGGTTTTTTCTATTTCTTTTCATGTAATTGCATTTCAATCACAAAGAAACCATGGTAATTTTTTACCTCTTTACTACCTAAATTAGTCTGTGTACAGTTTTGTATTATTCATCCAATGTTTATTACATTAGTTTGAAAAAGAATAAGTTGTATTACCTAATGAAAGCCCAACACTAAACATTTTCACCATTAATTATTTCAGTTAGTATTATTAATACATTAATACTGATTGGCTTAGTACTTGATTTAGGTTTGGGTATCGGATTTCGACCAGGAACCAATGGAAATTTAACACTATACACAACAGTGGGTACAAGCGCCATTAGGTTGATTCACCTTACCTCTAAAACTATAAATGTGTAACTGGAATATGCTTGTTTATTGCAGCTGTAACTGCGCCTGTACAAGTCGTGGCAAATAACAAAAAGGTTGTGTACATGACTAGTAATTGCTAATTGAGACAATAAAAATGCTAAGATAGCGGCTCGTAATTTCCGGGAATGCTAGAAATAAAAATAATTTTCTATTTAAATGAGCTACACATGTAGA